CAAGGGCCGGGGCATCAAATAATTTTTGAATTTGCAGTGATACCTTCTGGGACAGTTCTGGCTCCTGAGAGGCTTTTTTTTTTTGTGCGGTTTAGGGCAACAGGTAAACAAGTCACGCTTATTGAGGCTCTTTTTTCTCATAGTAATAAGTTATGTAGATTTACGCCCAGTTGTGTACGTGGGGCACGACTCCTACTCCACTTCCATAAAGTAACAAACAAAGATTGCCAGACTGCTATTCTGCTGTAATGAGGGGATATATCATATTCGTGAACGTGGCGTTTGCAGTCTGGGGAAGTATGGATATGTAATTAGCTAAATCCATTGCACTGAACTGAATTTGCATTCATTATAGTGCCTTTACTGCACTATGGTTAGTTTTCTTGCTATCTAGGATGCTAATTATTACTTGTCTGGAGAAGGCAGTGTATTCCGAAAACCTGACTGTGTAACAAAGTTTTCAGTATGACGCTTGAGAATAGCCAGCAGTGAATCAGGGGAGCAGTGCTCTTCTTTTAATTGTAAAAGTAGTACTGTAGCAGGACTGCCATCAGTTTTTAGCATTCATATCATGTACGGGCTAGAGAGAAAACAACGCTTGTACTTGTAAAGTCCAGTTACTGTTCTGTGATCACCTAAGCCATTCCTAGCAACTTCCAATGGGGTCTTCATTTTCTGCTGCTTATTTTAATTGTGCTGAACAGCATATTCAGGAAGCACAGTCCCAAACTATTTCATTAATGTTCTTACCATCTTAATCAGGAATATTGCTGAAAAACACCTTGCTGTTCCTTGCCTGCTTTGGATTATGGATGCTATTAAATGGCTCCAAATCACCAGCATGTCTGTCTGTCTGTCACAGACATCTTCCTCTGCCTTGTAAATTGCTTACAGATTTCCTGAACTTTCTTATTATTGTTTGTCATCTCAGGAGATTTAGATACTTAACAGTATTCCAGTTCTATGTTTTTAATTATTATTTGAGATTAATGACTTCTAATACAACTCTATATTAAGAGTTTTGATCTGGCTTGTGATTTGCATTTCACTGTGTAATGAAAGGAGTGAAGAACAACACAAACACACTGTTGACAGTGTGCAATTTTCCCTGCTAATTTAAGACAACAGGAATGGTTAATCTGGTCAATCAAGTTTTATGTGTGTGCCTTTCAACAGTTACAGGTTTAAATAAATATCTCTATTGGCATTTGACCCCAAATAGAATTTAAAATGTATTGGGTAGCTCTTGTGTATAGCCATCACTCAGAAACGAGTTTGCATACTTTGTTTTAGTATACCTGTTTAGACAAACACTTTTATTACACTCACTGGTCATTTTTTTTTTAAAAACAAATACAGCAGTTTAAAATCATTTAAATACACTTGAGAAAAAGAATAAAAAATAATTACTGGTGTATGAATGAAAACCAAGATGCATACGCACAGTTCTGTGGCCATTTCTGCAAGTCACAGCACACAGTCTGGCTTGGAGAACATTGTACTTCTCACCCTCATTTCTTTTTCCTCAAATTGTGAAGTAAAAATCATGTATTTCCCCCTCAGTGTTTGGAAACAAATAAGCAGATTTTTTACTTCAGTAGGAATACTCAGGCAAGGAAGGCCTCGTAACCCTACTATACTGATGTGCCATACACAAAGAGTTTCTCACCTTTACCATGTGCGGCAGGTGTACTATAACGCTGCTTGCACAGGCACCTCATGTGGCAATATCAAGTGCAAGAGGCACAGGTGACAGTTACTGAATATGGGGATTGCAACTTGCTCGGCCTATTTGGGTTTGCTTCATTTTAATTTGATTTTTGAAGCTAATATTCAGAAGTGGCTGAAGAGAGGTATTACCATGTCTAATCCTCATGTGGTAGTGGAGTTGGGTTACATTTTCAGAGGTGTATTATGCAAAATAGCTCACTAGATGTGGCACAGTAATAAACAGTTTGCACAAAAATACTGACAATAGACCAGTTCGCTTGAACTCCACCTTTGAATTTTGTTTGCTTTTTCAGGTGTGGTGTTATGCAGCCCTGTGCAGCCACATGGTCAATAACCTCCGAAGGCTGAATTTGCCAGTCCGTTTCAGCTGTTTCCTGACGGTCCAGCAGAGCAAGCATGAATGGAGATTGCCTTGGTAGATTGTTATGGTGCTTCCCCTCAGCACAGAGGCGACTTGAGGGAGAAGCAGCCCAGCCTTGGTTTAAAGGTTAGCGTACCCTGCTTGCACATCAGTGTCTGTTTTTAACTTCTGCTTGCCTGAGAGCAGCCATTTTTACATTTCAAGCATGCTATTCTACCTGTCTTCAAAACAGGTGGAGCAACCAAGCACCCTGGACACCGAGCAGCATTCTGTACAGGATGCTTCATATATCTGCAAGGAAAGGGGGAAACAAGATGCAAAATGTTTCCAAAAAGATCCTCCTTTTAGAAAAGAAAAAAATTACTGCAACAAAAGCAAGACATTCTTCTTACCATCCGGTAGATCATTATTAGTTCCTGTTTGGAGGAGACAAAACACAACAACTTCTGCTGGAAGACAAAGCACTAAGAAGATCAACAACAATAACAGCTTCTCCCTGTTTGCATGTGTTACCAGGCCTCAATTTTCTCTTCAGCATCCTGTCCAACTTGTTTTTCCTTTAATTATCATAAATCAAACCTGCAGTCAAATCCCTCTTCAATCTGAGCAAAGCTCACCTTACTGGGACCCTTTTGATTCAGTGGAGACCACAAAGAATAAGATCACAGAAGAAAGCTAACAAAATAAGATTGTTCCATTGGCTTTTTTAAACACAATGAATAAAAAGGCTGAATTTGTCAACCCAAGTGCCATTACATGACTGTGAAAGAAAAACAGGTTTGGGGATGTCATTGGGTTCCACCTGATCCATGTTTTAAAATACCAAAACCCAGCAGCTCTTCCTGTGTAGATGGGGGCTTCTCCCCTTCAAGAAGGATGGCAAGGTCATAGTTACAGCCTTTGTACTGCGCGGTCGGTTCCCTGGCAGTTACATCTGGGACATTTATTGGCTTCTTCTGTTAGAAAGAGGAGGTAGCAAAACCCTTTCACATCTGGATTCCAGCCCAAGGTCAATGTGTTAGGCAGCATTTAGCTTTCTAAGGAATATTAGATAAAAGGTAACTTTTTGTCTTATATTCCGACTTGGCAATTCTTCATCTCCCATTGTTTCTTCGACAGCTTCTCTGACATTCTCACTAAAACAATTTCCAAGCTATTCCACATGTTTCCTTTGTATAGTAGTGCTTTTTGTCTCATTGCTAGGTCATGGGGAAAAACACCATGTCCGTACATTAATCCATTTTAAGTTGTTGCTGCTCTGTGTAGGGAGTTGTAAGATCCAACATTTAAGTCCACATGAGCCCCAGTGAAAAACTTGAGTGCTTTGTTGACTAACGGCATGCTAAGGTTTCACGGCTTGCACAGGGTCGTGTGGGATTCACAAGAATATAAAATAGTCCAGTAACTTACACTGAGATCAACAGACCAAGGTTCCCCACAAAATATTCTGGTCTGTTTAGCACTTCACTGTTTAGCACTTTTTTAGCCTCATAGTGACAACATAGTTTTCTTCCAGTTAAAGAAGATTTTTCTCTTCTCTTGAAATCCTTACAGAAAATAAGAGCTATTTTACAAGAAGAAAGTTTTGACAACATAAAATTCATTATGTTATTTTCACAGACCTAAACAACGAAATCTCTGAGAATTGCTGCAGGGTATTTATTAGTATTCATACGGAGTATTCATTTTTTCCCAGCGAAACTACCATTTGATCTAAATGAAAAAGATATTCCTTTCAAGTCAGCAGCAGTTTGCGTCAACAAGAACGTTCATTTTATGTGCTGATTCAGCCCTATAGATATTGAAGCATGAAACTCAGATGAGCACGTGCACGGCATAATTACGACGCCAATTTTGAAAAACGAAAAGTTTTGTTTCATGCAGTTGCTAACTACCTTTGTTTTCTTCTTTCATATGAATTCTTTACATTCCTGAATAAACACAGATAATAAATACATACATGGTAAAATAGTATCTTAAAATAGGTGTGCGAAGGACTGAGCAATTAGTCACAGTTGCTAAAATAAGGTCACACAGGCTGAATTCAGCAGGTGAAACTCCTCTCTGGAGCAAATTGGGGTTTTATCAATTTCAGTAGGCCAGGGTACATCAGTTGGAGATCTCTTCAGAAAGCTGTTTAATGGTGACCTACTTTACCCCATCCCTTTGGAGGTGGTTGCTTTTCCTTGTTACACCTGTTTTTCGACCCCTCAGGCTGCCTTCAGACTGCATGCTAAGTCTGCAGGAGTTACGCTGTTACCGAAAATGACCAAGTTCTTACAGCAGTTTTCAGCAATACTTCATTTGGCCTACTGTGTTTACTAAAGGAGACGTCAAAGGTCTCTCTGAAGCACTTTCAAGATACATCTATTTTTATTACTTTGATGCATTGATTACTAGTCAGATTTGGACCATCCTAATTCAGTTGCTCCTCCAATGCTTGTTCCAGGATGCAAATGTACTAAGCAAACCACAACTTTTGAGAAGTGTTTAGGTTTAACAAATGATTTGACCAGCATACCTAATACATTGTCAAAGTTGCTAATCCAGATAAAATGTTCAGGATTAAAGTTAATTATTCAAACAGGCTAGCTAACATATTTCACGGGCTCCCTAGTATAGGCAAGGCTGTTCAGACTTCACAACATGCTGCGTTGCTTGATTTGAAGTGTAGGCTTCCATTTACCTGGCTTGCTACATACTAAGTACAATTTTCACTGAGTGATTAGAGTTACGGAGAATTAGTTAGTCTGAGCTAATCAGGACACTGATGGTTAGGGGCAGGGACCCTCTCTGAGTTAGGAGCCCCAGTGCCATTGACTTTCCAAATGGCCTCCAAACTACCTTTCTTGGCCATTCCCTCTCCTTTTGAGGCAGTCCTGCTGGTGAATTGTTCACATATTTGTGGCTAAATAAACATTACACTTAAGCAGAGGTAGCAGGTTGACCTTCTGTCACTCTTTAGGGTTTTTTACCTTGTAGAACACTCTTCCCCCCCCTCCCCCTTCTGTTTTATACAAAATAATGCTATGTTTCCCTGGGGAAATTATGACATAGTCTTGCAGATTGCGCTGGTTTAGTTGTTTGATGCTGTACTGACTTAATTTAAAATAATGATGTAAGTAAATAAGAAAGTCCACAGAAATACTTCAGGGTTTCTTTTATTGTGTTTGTCTGTGACATGACAGGAATATATGCTGTGTGTTAGACAATGGATTTAACTAGCCAACTATCATGTGGTACTAGCAGTCATTTCACTTTTCTTTTTGTCCTTTTGAGCAACCTCATCTTTAACGATTTGGCTGATCTTTTCAGGTTTTGGTATGTCCCAGTTAACTGTAAGATGTCCAAGACCTTATTTAGACCTCAAATATCCAGGTAATTACAGCCAAATATATCTCTTTGAAGGAAGGAATATTATTCTTGTTTGCTGTCATACTGTAATTCATAAAATATTGTTGATGTCTCTAAATCACCAATACTGAAATTAGCCAGTTATTACGCCATTTGTCATTATGGTTAGGGGGATGGATTGGGGCAGTATTTCTAAGAGGGTGGGTTGTGACACACACAGCAGTCATGCAACATGGTCAGGTGTTGGCAAGTTGTTGAAAATTTTGCAAATTATAAAGCAAAGGCAACCTAGTTTCTGCACTCCTGGTGACTTCTATTCTTCAAGGTCAAGCATGCTTTTCAGCCTTTCAAGAAATATTACATAGATTTGTCACTTTTACAAGCAATAAATATTAATTTGTTTTTATAAAGAAGATGAGGGCTGCAATTATTTATTTTTTTTTTGCTTTGGATAACGGAACATCATCTTACAAAAAACCCCACTGAAAAATACTGGCTTAAGGAATTGGTAGTGGGATCCAAGGTATTAATTTTCTCAGTCACAGTGATTTAAATTCAAGTGAACAGGTAAAAAGATAATTTCCTATTCCTTCCTGACTATTTGGTGGTCTATGTTAAAAGATTTTATGATTTCTGTTTAGCTCCCATATTAGAAAAACAAACACTGCTGCAATTGGGCATGGAGGACTCAGGTACTTGGAAACTAAGTGATGTGCTTACCCTTACATCATTCAGGATATTTTATATCAAATCATATTGGACAGGCTATGTGCAGCATCCATTTCTACCGTACCCGTTTTCTGTATAATTGTAACATTTCTGTCTCTGAAGCTGTCAAAATAACTCACATAAAAATGTAAAAAAAACCTGAATAAAAATAATTTAATTTCTCTCAGGGAACCAGTTTAAAACGTTCTCAAGCATCTTAATAAATTAACTATAGACACCTATGACAAGACTAATTTGCAATAAAAGACTTTCTGCTCTAAAAAAAGGGGCACTAGGATCTTTTCCTAGTTTCCAAAAGCACTCTCCTAGCATGTTGTTCAAGATAAATGCCTCTTAATTACCATGTATTTCTCTTTCATTTCATTTTTACCTTTCACAGTCATTAGGCTTACATGTCCTGCAAAGTAAGTTTTGTAAACTTTGAGGTGATGTGTTTATATCCTACTTTTTGAGTTGGTTGCTTTCCCCACTGATTCAAAGGGAAAAAAGAAACTGATTTAAAAAAAAATTTACAGACCTTACAGCTCTCTGTACCGGGGTGAAGTACAGAATTCATACAAAATTCTGGCAATATCTTAAAATGTAAGTGAGGAAGTAACTTACAAATCTTCTAGCCAGCTACCTAGATCTGGAAGTGCACTGTGCTATAGCTGACCTGCAGTCCAGGGAGTGCCTGGAAAAAACAGAAAAGAAAAAGCATTACTAAGATAGGCATAAAAGAGGCTATATTAATCTTATTTACCTGCTGTAGTACTATTCCATGTCATTGCATTGGAATCAAGATAGTCACTTTTCCCCTGCTTTCATCTCTACCCATTATCCATAGGTTTGTTGCCTGAAATTGAAGAGGCACAGTGTTTTGGAGTTTTTTGGTTTTGCTCCTCTGTATTCTTGTGAGATGACAGAGAAGGAACATGGGTTACTGTCAGTGCCAGACCTGGCTAACCTTAAAAAGGGGAGACAGGCTCAGAAATCTCCACAGCACTGTTGTTACACAGCAGCCTGAGAAGGAATGATAAACTGCTGTTTTACTGCAGTGTCAGTGGGCATCGTGACACAGGAAGACCTTAAGAGCAGAGCGCAGTCGTATTGCAGAGATCATGTACTCTGTCCTCAGCAGGGGAAGCTGGTAGTTTTTCTGTACTATAATTAGCCACTGCCAACGAATGCATATTGCGTCACAGGAATTAGCCTTGTGGCATTCTCACCTTTGCCTTCCAAAATGAGGGAAATATCTTTTAGTGACAGCTATTATGCCAAGGGAGTAAAGTACTAAGGGAACAAATATACCGTTAGTTGCCTGGTCAAGGATATACAGTCTTCACTGATAGCTAAGATCAATGCAGTTTAAAATGGAATGGTGAGTAGTCCCCTGCTGAGAATATACTGACATATATATAGCTTCTTTTCCCTGGAATTCCCATCATAAGAGAGCAGCTTGTAGTGTTTTGATAATGGTTTTAGTTCACATCTGTTCATTTAGCAGCATCTATTTCCCAGATTATGTCGGTTTTGTCCTCTGTAGGGGAGGATGTATCTGTTTTCCATCACTGCAGCTTCCTCCCAGGGGACGATCTGGGGATTTTGCAGCCTGGTTTATTGCAACAAACCAGGCAGAACCTGCCGCAAATCCGTAACGTATCTGGTCTTTTAGGAACATATTAGTGAATCCTAAGGATACTTGTTCTGATTTGTGGAAAACTGTTGTGAATTAGCAGCTCCCTGGAAGCCAATAAAGTTCCAAATCTGTGCAAGTCTGTATGCGACCAGTGATCAGATCAGTCTGGATCCTCATGAGCAGTACCTGTCGGATCGGCTAACTAACGTGGATGGAAAGACTGGGTGATTCATGTAATGGGTCAAAATTTAAAACTCATTGCAATATCATATTTACTGTGTACTTTATCCTGCATCATTAGTGTTATTTGACTCTTGTTACTTACAATTGTTTCATGTCATATGACTTGTTACTTTCTATGCTTTAAATAAAGGCAGCTGAAATCAGTAACTTAGTGAGTGGGATATTCATCTTGTGCTATTTCTGCAAATCCTATAGTAACTGTAGAAACCACTACTGTGGACCAGTGCTAACCACTGCATAAAAAGACAGTTCCAGCTTGGGAAAAACATACAATGTAAGGAGAAAGTAACTGAACTTTATCTGGGGATATCTGGGGAGTTAGCACTGAATACGCCTGTTGTTTCTTGAGATGAGTCTTTCTTCAACTTTGTTTCATACCCAACTCATGGGTAACATTTCCCACTCGCCAGCAGTAGTAGTCAGAGGAACAAATTAAAATGTTAGACCTGTGGCTGAGAGAGCAAAGCATGGTATTTTTCTTGAATAAATAAAACCAGTGTCCACTGTTCTGTTATCTCATGCACAAAGTTGCCATGTTGGAACTTGATCTAGTTCTTAGAACTCTTGCCATTTTCCTTTGCATTCCTGTTTTCATTCTTTTCACAAATTAATTCACTACAATCTGTGACAATAAGTAGCATTCTAAGCCACAGGGAATTTAAAAATTCAACAGTAATACATGCTATTAGTAGGACACTGCAGTTACTTAGGCAATTAGAATAGCACCTGCTTTCAAAACATAATATATTGTAAAATTCTCGGACATTAGTTGGATTAGAAAGTAATATCATGCTAATTTAGTAGTAATTTTATAATATGAAAATCATGCTATTGCAAAATTACCCTATTGATTCTATTATAAATGTGATTTGTTTACTTAACTGATTTTTCTCTCAAACACTTTGCCCACCTCAGAATAATAGATATTTTCAATAAACACCAGCAAAAGCCACCTAAGGTGCCAGGTCTCAGTCAAGTGAAAGCATGACAACCTCAGCTTTCCTCTAAAGCCAATTAAGCCTCTGGGATGTAAAAATAAGAACTGAAAATCTAACCTGCATGCAATGCGATTGCCACTTGCTTGCAATATTCATAAGCATAAAATAGGGGAAAGTAACCTTATATATATATATGGTCTTATGGTTTATGTTTTTAAGCCAGTCTCCTTATTTTTTGAGATTCAATTATTTAATAGTTGGGTGTTGACAGTGCTGCATAACAAACCAATGGAGACATTGCATGAAATGAATCGCAGTTCCTACAGCCCTTCTGGGGTGTAATGCTTTTGCTTGCTTTTGGGGAAGTGGAAGAGCGAGAGATCTTTGCATACAGCCGGAACAGCAGCTAATCAAACCCCATTGTGAAATGATTCAAATACAAAGGGAGAGATCTAGCTTACTCCTAGACAGAGGCTTGTGTTTGCTGATCACAGAAGCCAGCCCTTTGGGGACAGCATAGCTTTTAGTTGACAACAGTACTTTTGCCTGCTGCAGAGATTATTCCAGGCACTCAGTATGGAAAACGGCAATCCCAGTTCCAAGAAAATAGTTTTAACAGCACAAGACATCCTGTTGATAGAAAAGCTCATTACCATGAAGGAGTGCTGAGCAAATTACTGTGCTACTTAGGCCTGTTTTAGAGATGGAAGGACTGCGTCTGCTACCTCAGAACCTTTCATCTTTTATCCTTACTGGTGTGTGCTTAAATAAAATAATGTTCTTTTCCTTTAAAAATCTTAGTGTTCTAGTCAGACCAGTAAGTATTATCTCATTGTACAGCTGAATTAAAGGCATACAATTAAGCAATTTTTGAAGGGTAACGAAGA